TATATATGGTGGCCCTAAGTATTCTGTCCTGTGACATTTCACAAAAGGCCTGAGATTTTAGCGGGCTGGCATGCTGGCAATGACTCGGGCGCAAATAAGATTATAATATAAAATAAGTGTTGAATTTTCCTTATTTGACTTGTCCTATCATATGGTCTCACGTATTATAGGGTACATGCAGTGGAGAATCCGAATTAGAGGGGGCTTATGGACTTTCACAGATGGAGACCATTTGGGGCTGAGGTAAGAAAATTTATGATTATGGCACTTTAGACTCAGACTTAAATTTGAATATAATTTTCTTGTTTTCTTCATTGAAAAAAAAAAGAGATTGACAAATTTATGGGGTGGGGTGGGCGTGAGTCGGCTACGTCACTGGTAGGATATGACTAGTCGTTCTGATTCCCATCGCCAACTTCCCTTCACAACATCCGTATTTGGTGTTTTGATGCAACATTACGGTATATACGCCACAATTAAAAACATGGTTTACTTACTACTCAGACATAAACAACAGAACAACCAGACAAATTACAGGGCACAGTTCAGAGGGATTATAAGGGTTGCATTGTTTTCAGGCCATCTACAATAATATTTATAATTATTATCATCATTACCACCATTATCACCACCACCATCATCATCATCCCCATCATTATCATCATCATCATCATCAGATCATCATCGTCATCATCATCATCATCATCATCATCATCATCATCTTCATCATCATTTATCATTTTATGGGGAGCTGGGGGCTGATGGGAGCGCGAAGGTGAAGTTGGGGGGAGGGGCTGATGGGGCGCAATTTTCTACTCTTGCCACCGGGCGCCAAAACCTCTAGCTACGCCACTGAGTATATTTAATTTAATTAATGTTATTTAAGTTGTTTATCAGAACATTAATGTAACATTTATGTATTATAAGCATGCGTATTATATATGTTTATATTACTAACGTTTATATACACCAAATGAAATTTCTTATTGTTTTAACCAACTAGGTTATGAACAGAATATTGATAATTATGCATTCTTTGCTTAAAGTTACAGAATTGTTTACCATATATTGTTGTGTAGCACAGACAAAATGTAGAATTTAAAATTACCAAAAGCATTATAACGATGTTTAATTACCGTTACTCAGATATTATTATTATTATTGTTATTATTATTATTATTATTATTATTATTATTATTATTATTATTATTATTAAAATAATAATTATTAATATTATCATCATTATTGTTGTTATTATTATTATTATTATTACTGTTATCATTATTATCATTTAGCATATTATTATCTTTATTAACATTATTATAAATAATGCTACAGAATGTGTTATCGCTATGCAATTGAAAACCACCCTCTGTACAGTAATTATTATTATAAAATAGTAATTATTATATAGTATTCTTGAATCTAGATGTCCTTCTGAATTTGAAGGAACAAAGCATCCGGGGCCCCAAATGTGTTCCTTACAATCTTCAAAAAAATAAATTGCAGTACTCACTGGCTGACTGAACTGTTACACATGTCAACATGAGGACTAGGAGTGTAGATACATGCAATTGTAAGTATTTCGCCATTCTCGCCGACTCAAATGCTGTTGGCAAAAAAAGTACCAAATAATTAAATATAATATTATCACTGCCTATTAAAACATTATGATGAGTAAATAAAACCTTAACAAATAATGCCTAGATACCAGTTGATATTGCAAGTGACGTGTAGTACGGTATACGACAGGGTCACTTGGAACTTGTAGGCCTGTCTTTTGAACGCAAAAGCCTCCCGAAAATCGTCACGCGGGTGACTATCCGTAGCCCATTACTTGCAAATTCAAATTTTTTACATGTTTTCTACTGTATTACTTAGGTCTGTTTATTGTCACCCAGAGTTGGCTGGCCATGGGTATCACCAAATGTAAATGTGGTGACATGATTACCGCCGTGTTATTGCGTGATCATAAATACTTATTGATCCCAACCAGGTTAGAAAAAATGTAATTCTACTGGAGTACAACATTAATAGAATGTGTTGAGAATGATGTTGCTTCCATTAGATTTGTTTACACTCATTTGGGGAGGGGGGACGTTTATCGAGGAATTATCAGTGCACCAATGTGGTGCCATTCCTGAGGATGACATAATTAATGTAGAAATATTGAATCCCAACACGATGGCGTGCATTATATTTTCTAATAACATTTTGTGTATGCATTTTCTTGTTACTGACGTAACATCGATCATGTTCGCCGCTGTTACGCCGTTACGTCGTGATCATCATTACGCATCGTCGTTACGTTTACGCCGTATTTTTTTTTATTATATGCCTTTATCTGATGTTTTTACGAAAGTTTCCCCGTGTTTCTTCGATGCATCGACGTCACCGTTTTGTTATTCTGTGACGTCGTGCTGTATCAAATTTCGGTTGTTTTTGAGATGTGACGAAATCATATGCAGTGATCAAGATCACGACATGTTCACTTGGGACAAAAATCGCATTATGAAATGGAGTAGAAATGGAATATAATTTGTACACTTCCAATAGGACCTAATCTGTTAACAGTATTTCAAAGTGCCGATTGCGAGGGTCATAAAAGTGTCATTTTATTTCGACAGGAAGTCTGTCTACAGAGTTTATGCCCTTTATCCCATCTTGTACAATAACATGGTATTATAATTTACGGTCCGCTGCTGTCCTTTGGTTTACTACATATCAAGCACCCTACCCTCGACAAAACACAATAGTAGGCCCTGACTGTGTATGACGATGAATCCTAAATTTCAAAACAGTACTGTACTTGTAATAATAATATATCCGGGTCACTTGAAGTATTTGAAGGCTAAACCTATATTCATAATTTCGTGAACACGTGGAACAACAAGTACAGTGTTTTCGCGAAGTAAACTTACAAAAACCGGAAGACTCTTGAACCAGACGGTAGCTTAGGATTTACGCTGTAATTGCTCTCCTGGCGATTAAAAGCACTCAAAAAAATTTATTAAGGACGCGAGTCAGACCAATTACTTCATACTCAGACAGTAGGTCCAAATATTGAGATAGACCCTTCTACACCCGATAGTAGGCCTAGTATTATTGCTCTAAACTAAACGATATAGCCCAATAATATTAATGTTACACTTAGACCTTAAAAAAGCAAAAATTTAGAAACTGATGTTTGATGGGTTCGATGTCTGTGTGAAAGCGTGTGACAACAGTTTTTGGTTCCGATATACAGTAGGCCAACCCAGCGTTCAATTTTTCTGATCTACACTTTTTTTTTATAAGAACACATTTCATTAGAACACTGAGACTGAATTGCTTTAAAAATAAGAACAAATTGAGGCTGAGTTAGAATTTCAAATGAGGTTTTATATTTATTTCAAATAAAAAAAATGTAGCCCTATATTTTATTTAAATAGAAAAATCAAAAAATATTATCTGTACCAGTGTAGGTGTGACTATGTAATGCCTCTACAGGCCTAATACAGTACAGTAATATACTGCAGTACAATAATAATTGTCTATCTTTTATGGGAGTATAACTTTTTTTGTCAAAGAAAATTTCATAGTCTAGGCAGAGCTTAAAAACTGTGCAAGTCAACGTTTCCTATACTCGGCCCACCTTTCGTGTTGTGAGACAGCATGGATTCTATAAGTTATAAAATACATGATTATTAGGCCTACCTATCGTCATATGAGGACTCTCGCTATTAATTATAATGCTAACATCCCTTTTCCTGTTGTTTCTTAGTTCATTTACTTGTCTGCATTGTCTCTTTGTCCACTTCAAATCACGAGTCAAAGTTTCTTAGTCTCATAAAGTTTTGTTCAAAGTCTGTATCAAGGGGATCACTAATTAATAATAATAATAATAATAACAACAATAATAATTAAAATTATAATTATAATTATAATCATAATTATAATTGTAATATTATTAATAATAATAATAATAGTATAATAATATTATTATCATTATTAATAGACCTACCTAATATTAATAATAATAATAATAATAATAATAATAATAATAATAATAATAATGCCTAATATTAATGATAAAACTGTATAATACTAATAACGATAATGATGAGGAGGGGGAGAGTAGGAGGATAAATGCGAATGTGATGATGATTATGACTGATGATAATACTGATGATGATAGTGATAATAATGAGAATAACAACGATAACAATAATAGATAGGGAGATGGTAGACGATAAATAACAATTTACGAGTTTGGCGAATGAGGAATCATGTGTTTATACTACATAATAGCATTATTCACATGGACATGGCAAAATCAACTAGATACGTGCGATGTTTAGTCATAGCAGGGAGTTGTTATAGTGAAACAACTCCCTGGTC